AGGCCAGCCCACTGGTGCTGGTTAATGGTTCTGCAATCAATGGATAAAATGTTCTTTGTCAGGACTAACAATCCACCTCAAATTGTTCTTCCTTCCTTGGATTACAATAGTAACCCTTTCATTTGTAGCTCTTCTCTTGCAATTATCACCAGTATCTCTGGCTTTATGAAGTCTAGAAGGGCTGTTTATTATCTTGGGAAGTTTGTGCTGGCAGAGGGCATGTTTTCTCTTCTTAGACAGTAGCACTTTTACAATCCAGAGATTTATGTAACAGAAAGTTGGTCAGTTATTATGGGTGATACAGAAGTACTATTTTTGGCCTGGGACTAAAACTGATTGCCTTTGAGTCTAAAACAGAACTTGAAGCATGCTCCTTCATTCAAAACTTACTGTCTCCTTTATCCCCAACTCAAAGCCATTCTCTTGCCCAGTCAGCAGGAGGATGGGCTGTGTAAAACATGATCTGCAGTGAGACTGAATTTGTCCTTAGCCTGTTACTACCAGAATGGGTCAACCTACCAGTGAGGGTGGGGTCAGGGGCAAGGACACCGTGAGCAAATCTCTTATCCTACAGTCCCCTGGACCAGGCAGTCCTAAATACATGTGTCAATTGGCTAAAGGACACGGTACACCCGCACATGGGAAATGCCCTCTCCAATCTCCACCAATGGGCAAGCAGGACAAACATGGTTCTGTCTGTCACTGCATCCAGGGAGTGATGGCTTCCTCAGAAGGCTGAGTGAGGCTGGAGTTCTCCTTTTTCCTCTTCCCTCTCTCCTACCAGCCATCACACGCATAGAGAGGTGGTTCCCCCAATCATGTCCTCCGCACACTGGCACAGGAAGCATATCTGATGCTGCCCTAAAGCTAGCATTCTGAAATCTCTGGATGATGCATATCATCACTGCTGAGCATCCGAGCTCAGAAAATCCTTGGCTCAAACTGAAGAAGAACTTGCTAGCCTGGCCACCTCTGGACCAGCTCTACAGTAATCAAACTAGCACGACTCAAGATGCGGCCTCTGATTTCAAAAATGTAACTATTTGGAACTAGATTGTCTCTCTTCCCACAAGACTAGTAGTTCTACTATAAAACCCTAGGCCCCACCTCCACCTTGGGAGTTAAGATGCAAATGAAACAGCTCTGGACATGCAGGCCCACTCTCACCAGGATCAAGGGACACAGCCCTCCGGCAGGATCACTTCTCTGGGCACTCTGCTTTGGAAGGCCACGGTGCCCTTTGGACTGGCAGAATCCCCGTGGTCTCTGGTACAGCTTTCTAGCTGCAGGGAATAGCTAGAAGGATTCTTGATCTTCCTGAGATGTAGATGTGGCAGGGGCTTCACTCTCATGGAATATACTGGAAACACTTTTAAACTTAAGAGATAAAGGCCATCCAGGGCACAAGGAAATCAGCCTGCTACACGAAGGGTAGCTATGACTGAAGTAGGTGTTATTGAAATCAAATCTATTTAAACAAGCTTTAAAATTACTAAATTGAATCAATTTAATCTGCTTTTCATACAAAAAAAATGGATATTTTTTCATCCAAAATTCATGTGCGTGTAATTTCACTTTCAGAAGACACATTTTGTATATTTAAAGTAGCAAATTTATAGAATCCACACTCAGAAGAGTATCCCCAAGACTGCTAGAAAAAGTGCAAACAATAAACGACTTTGATATTTTCAATTTGCTCTTGGGTCTTCTTTTATCTCTGGATTTGCTCTGATTGCCCTGATTACATTATCCTTAAGAATCAGCTATTCATCTGTCTGCTTGACACTTCTAGAGAGAAAGTCAAAGAACGGCCATCTTATCTCCATCTAATGCTATTAACAAGCACAATTTCCACAAATAAAATCCCTAGATGGCAAAGAGAAGCCACTGTTTCTTGAATGTATAATAGGATTGCTTCCACGATTTTACCACGTACCAAAGTGGCTTCCCTGGCTCGGTGCCCTTTCATCCGGTTCTCATTCACTCATCTGTGCCTGCAGCTAGCAGTTCTGAAGGGTCTGCTATGGTTTAGGCACTGGGTTTAGTACAGAGTTTGGCCTGACAAAGACTCCAGTTGAACGAGGGGCACAGTGCTCACAGTAACTACACAACTGCAGTGGCAGCTTTGAAACAAAAGACCATGGCGATCAGCCACAAACTTGGGTGGAGGTGTCATGGAACAGCTCTTTGAGATGACAATGCTCCCTCACAGCTTAGCCCTACAACTTTCTAGAAGGTGGCACACAAGTGCATTGACTCGAGCACTATATCCATTCTAAGATAAGGTATGAAAAAAAAGAAGATTCTGGGTGCAGACAGACCTCACTGGGATTCCTGTTGTAACCATAGAACCTGCAGCAGCTTCAAGGTGAGGCCATGTCCCCACGGGTACTACTAGGTCAGTGGAACATGAACAGAGCACACTATTCAGTTGGCTACTGATAGCAGATAATTCGGAACTGATGCTGACTTATGTGTGAGCATTGGCATTCAAAATAAACTTTCTTCCCATGCAGAGTTCTGTCTTCACAAAAATCCACAACCAAAAGAAAAGAGTAAAAACATCCATCCATCCTACACCAAACACCATGACGGCAGTGGCTTTTCTCTGCTCACATGGTTATCAGAAATCGTTTGTTTATACAACAGGAACTCCTGTACCAGACAGACTTGGCACGCACAAGCATCAGCAAAAGGAAGAGCTGGTACACTGTGCTCACCCGCCCTCTAACAACGATTGGGAAAGATTCTGAATTAAGGTTTTTTGCAAAGGGTGAACTCCCATAAGGCATTAAGTGATTTTTCAAGTCATTAGGAGCTTGACTGAGGATCAGAGCCCTTTAGTGGCAGCTAGAACCCACTTTGCCATCTATGAAGCGATCTCCTACCTCTTCGTCAGCACCCCTTATTCTGTGATCCCCATTACTTGGAAATACTCACAGGACAAGGTAAGGCAGACCGTAAGGCAGATCTGTCAATACTCGGGCTGTGTCCTTGTACCTGCAGGGGCAGCCAGCAAAGCCTCGCTTCCAGGAGACCCCACATACTGCTAGGCCTTACAGAAAATTCTATAGCCTTGGACCAACAGCCCCTTTTCCTATTTTGGTACAATGTGTATATCAAAAAATTAAAAATACATATGGTCTGTGTTTTTAAATGTAAAACATGGATAATTTCACTGAGATATGAAAAAGAAACAACTTTTTTTTTTTTAGAGGATAAGGAGAAAGAAAAAGGGGGGAATCCTTACCCTGTAGCCCTGGATTGGCCTAGAACTCAGAGAGACCCATCTGCCTCTGTCTCCTGAGTGCTGGGATTAAAACGGTAACACACTATGTCCAACTGGGACCACTTTAGTGGTGGGAAGTTTAGAGGTTACAGGAACAGTAATTAGCTTAAGGTCTTACAGAAAGTTAAAAGAACTGAAACACTTTAATTCCTTCACCCTTCCCTTGACTCCACTTAAGCCCCATGTTTGTCTGGGATTAGGGACCTAGATTAACTCTCTGGTAGTTACTACAGGCTCAGGCTGAGTCCTCCTGATTCACTCTGCCTGAACTGAGGGTGCAGAGTGAGCCCACAGCTTGGGCAACACCACGTTTCCCCAGCAAGCCCTGGGATGTCTTTGGGCACCGAAAGGTCTACTGTGAGCTTGATCTAGCTGACCCAAGTCACAGCATATGGACTTTCCATAAGGGAGTCTTCCAGCTCCTGACTTCAAACCCAAGTGCAGAGACTTCCAAAAGCTTCCTCTGCTTGTCTCAACTGCAGTCCTTTTATGTCCCTAAGACTCTCTTGTTTGTGTGAACTGAAAAGCTTACCAATGTAGCAGATCACAGAAGTACATTCTGTAGACGCCAGAGGCCTGTATAAGATCAAAGGTCAGGGCTGCTTATGATTGCTCTAGATAATGGTTGTAGATAATATATTTCTTTGACTCAGAAGAAAAACATATCACCCAAATTCAAAGGGTCAAGGAGAAGAATTTCACCCACACTGAAATTCAAAATGGGAAATAGTTCTAATAGTTCCTGATGATTGTGATGGTGGTGGTGATGATGTGACAACTTCCCCTTCCAAGAGGCCAAGGAATTGAGACCCAATGGAAATCACACTCTAGGTGATGTGGTGGGGCAGAAAAGGACTCCTCAGGAGTAGCCAGTATGGCTGACATCCATTCAAGAGGGAAGAGAATTCAGAAAAGACACAGCCACACTTGAAGAAAGAACGAAGGGGCGGTCACTTCACCCAGTCCATCAGCTGCTTTCCTAGGCAGCTCAGCCCTTTCTAAGCTTCCAGGTCTGCCACATGCCATTCCATCACATATTAGTACCCAAGTGAGTCTCCGTCACATCTTTTTTTTTTTAACCTCAACTGAGTTCAATGTAATATCTAAAAGCCAGTGGGGATGCACGCACGCACACACGCACGCACGCACGCACGAATGTTAACTGAATGAAAGAATGGCCTATTACTCAGTAGCCAGAATTCAAAGGCACGGCTTGGGCACAGTGAGCATTAGCTGTCTGAGGTGGAAGAGAAGGTGACACAGAACGGACTACCAGGGAGCCCTTCACTCATCTAACGGCGGCACCCTGCTCTGGAAGGCTCAGCACCCATCCCTCAGCCGTTCCATTTCACTGAGGGAGAGGAGACCTAACTTGGAGCTAAAACATCTGATTTTATCACTGTCCAAATCGAAGTGAACTGGGTTATTCTATTTTGTATGCCAATTTTATCTCCAAGTCAGGTCCTCTCTTAAAAACCCATGAGGCCTGGTGGAGCCGTGCCTGTAGCCCTAGCACTTCCACCTAAAGGCAGGAGAATCATGAGTTCAAGGTCATCCTCAGGTACATAGAGATTCTGAGGCAACCATCAGCTAAAATATTAAAAATTAAAATACTCCCCCCACCCTGATTCAGTTGCAATCGCAGGGCTCCACAGAGACATGCTTACTAACGCACAGGGCACTCGCCTTCAGCACAGGATTGTCAACTTACTTTTGCCACAGCTAGATCAGCATCCTGTTCCTTTCAGACTCTGTAAAACAAAAAATAAAGAAAAGCATTAGAAAAGACCTAAACGTTTTCCACACGTAAACTACCACACAGCACCGCCATACCATACCCACTTGTCAAGGATGATTCATTTGCCCACAGACTGTCCTCATTCACATCATTCTGCAGCTGCCACAGACACCTGCCTGCAACAGCGAAGACCAGTCGGACAGGAGGGTTTAAAGGGTAGATAGAGATCATGACTGTACAACCACACACACACACACACACACACACACACACACACACACACTCACGCACGCACCTTCCTAGGGCCTCTACAAGTCATCCTTAGTTGCTTGGCACAAGGAATGAGTATTTCAGCTCAGTAAGATGGCTCACACCCACAATTCAGGGACTCAGGTGGCTGAAGCCAGTGACCACACACTGGGTCAAGGGCAAGTCTGGCTATTGAATGAGACCCTAATTCAAAGGAAAACAAAACAAATCTCTTTCCAGGTCCCAGTCCAAATTTACCTCAATTCTCCTGTCTTTGTCAACCTACAGCCTGTTTTTTCTTTTCCTTCTGTGACGAAGTCTCACTCTGCTGTGCAGGCTGGCAGTGGACTGAGGACCGTCCTGCTCAGCCCACCGTGCTGAGACTGCAGGCATGAGCCACAAAACCTGTTCCAAGGCAGCTCTTTGCAATGCTGCTACCCCGAGAGCCGGTGCCTCCCTCTGCAGGTCCACTAACTCAGTCTCTACCGACTAGTCTGCTGCATGCTAGCCCCAGGATGACCCCAGGACCTTGTGCCAGCATCCCTGCTGAGACAAGACGCTGCTTTTGATGATGTGCAGGGTCCCTTAAAGCTTTCGAGTGAGAGGTAGGCGATTTCCAGCTGCTATGTATGCTCTGCCTACAAGCTGTAGTATTATCGTGTGTGGTCTGTTACCTGACTTTATCTGCCCGAATAAAAGTTCTGTTTTAGTAGAGTACCTTGAAAGAGCAATAACCATGGTTGAAGGATGTGTGCACAAAGTCTGAAGTCTGAGTCGAGGAAGTGGAGGGCCAGGGGTAGAAACATTTTTTTTTCTTAGTTGTGACTCATATGCTTTTGCAGTGTGGTCTTTATAGTCTCTCCTCCCAAATGAATTACCATTCCCATCGAAAGCATCCCCTCCCACACATACAAAGCAGAATTCTTGCAATGTTTGACAAGATGTGCAACTTACAGGAGCATCCTTGCTTCATTAATCAAAGATGACTTCAAATTGGGGACAGGGGAGGTGAGCATAGGAAAGAAATTAGAAACTCACACACTGCCCTGTGCAGGTGGGCACTCCAATCATGAGCTTACTGCCGACACCACCTCTGGCCTCTCTGCTGGCTAGCCCACTAGGGATCCACAGGGCTGAGCTGTGCGACACTGGGACCCGCCCTGCCCAGGAACTTGAACTTAGCTCCTAACAACCGGAGAAGTGTAATTCAGTGCCACAAAGACGTCCAACTAAAGGCAGCGTCTGTGTCAAAGTCTTCCTTCCTCTGACACTTCCACAGGTTAGGAGAGCTGTTCTGATTTAAAGGTGACAACAGAAGGGTTTTCTATTTTCAAGGAGAGTGACTCCTTCATCCAGTACAGAGGGCTTTAAGAGCCCTCACCTTTTCCCGCAAAGGAAGGGAATTTAATACTCCTTTCCTGTGTGCACTGCAAAACTGTGCAACACCAGATGCCGAATCCATAGCAGACTGTCAAGGAATGCCCTTCCCTGCACCACACTCCAGCAACTGGTACCAACAGGAAAACTGACGGCCCATTTGGAGTGGGAGCTGCTGGCTCTCTCCTGCAGAG